CCCCACAGCGCCCCGCGCCCGGCCCCTGGCCCCACGCCTGGGCTGCTCCAGGCTGCCCAGAACCGCCCCCGCGGGAAACTGAGGTCCTGGCGGAGCAGCTGAGGAGGGTCCCGCCCAGGGCTCAGCCCTCCCGAGAGAGGCAAGCAGTCGCAGGTCCGGCAGGTGCAGGGGCCAGGTTGGCTGTCTGACCACCGCCAGGTCATGTGGCCTGTGGGCGTCGGGGTGTCCTTAGCTGGGACCTGGGCCACCCTACCTGTGGCTGCAGGATGAGGGCCAGCTGGAGGCTGTGGGAGGCTGCACCCCAAGACCCCGGAAGGAGGGTGACGAGGCACTGGCCTCAGGAGAGCTGGGGGAGCAGGCCTGGGGATGAGGCACAGGCGTGCCTGAGCAGCCTCTTCCCGTAGCAGGGCGCCAGCCAAGAGCGGGCTTAAAGGAAGTGCCCGCCGCCCCTGGGCAATGAGGGTGCTCCGCAGCCCCCAGGCATGGAGCCCACCTGCATTGACCCCCGCCAGACCACGGCCCTTGGCTGTGCGATTCTGCCACATCCTCTCAGCAGCACTGCGAATCGGGGGTCCTTGCCCCCTTTCACAGAGCTGTGGTGGGAGGAGGGGTCTGGCCCACTGGGCGCTCCGCGGAGCTCGGCCTTGTGTGGGGCCCCAGGGCCACCGGCCCAGCAGGGGAGAGTCACTAAGCTGTGCCGGGACCTGCCGGGGCCCAGGGGCCAGGGCACCCTGGCGTCCATGGGGCTGAGGTGTGGGGCGGGGAGGACACAGGCAAGGTCGATGGGCATTCCTTCTGTGGGGTGACCACGGCGAGAGGGCAGCAGAGGTGGGGTCTGGACACCCTGGGTGGGGCTGGACAGCTGGCCGCGCCGGCAACCGTGGGTTTGTGCCATGCACAGGACATGGACTGGGAGGAAAGTCAGGGCATGGGGAGGCAGGCCCGTGTGCCCAGTGGCCTTGCCCTGGGGTCTTGGCTTTGAGGTGCCCCAGAGCACCCCTGCTTGGTCTTGGAGGCCAAGTGCCACCGGGAGGCAGCCAAGGCCCAGCAGTGTGGGGCCTGCAGGATGTTTGGCGAAGCCAGCTGGGGGACCCACATCTGGCCTCCGGGTGGCTCCACCAAGCTGGGGCTGGGCCGGAGGGCAGGGCTGGTGGGGCCCCACCTAGCAGGCTAAGCCTTCACACCAGCTGGCAGCTGCCTTCCACACCCAGCCACCCTGCCTCAGTTCGTTCCTTCTGGGTGACGGTCATCCCGGCTGCCCAGCAGGGCAGATGGTCACCGTCCTCTCGCATGACTGCTTGATGCCTGCGCTTCGGTGGTGGGGTGGGCACTGCGGAGCAGGTCACTCCCCTGACCAGGGAGGCCCTGTCCTGAGTGGACCACATGCTCAGGCTGCCCTCTGCCCACTGGTGGGGGCCACCAGGTTCCTGTCCACTGTCCTGGCCTTGGGGAGGGGACTGCAGGCACAGGGCGATGCGTCTATGAATGCGGCTTGTGGGGCACGGGGCAGGGGGCTGGAGCCAGTGAGGTACGTCCCAAGCCCCAGCTGTTGGCCAGAGGCTCATGAGGCGTCTCCCAGGTAGTTCTGCAAGACAGGAAAAGAGAGTAAGAAAGGTGGGGTGGGCAGCCAGGAAGGGCACAGAAAGTGGAAGTTGTCAGAGACCAGCTCCAACTATTGAGGTGTCTGGAGGCAAGACAGGCAGGACCCTAAGGTGGGAAGGCGTCGGTGAGTGGAGATTCCTAAAAAAGGGGGGAAGGGAGAAAAGAGGGGAAAGGGGAGCGAGGAAGACACGGGAGTTGGGTGCAAGTCTTCCTGCTCTGCCTTCAGCAGAGGTGTATTTTATACATTACGAGCAAGCAGTGGGATGACATCAGCACACGAACTGGGCTGAGAGATTGCAATCATCTTTGTTTTTCCTAAGAACAGTTTAGGGCCGTATTGCCTTTTGCTGATATCATACACCTCTGTATAAAATACACCTCTGCTGAAGGCAGAGCAGGAAGACTCGCACCCAACTCCCGTGTCTTCCTCGCTCCCCTTTCCCCTCTTTTCTCCCTCCCCCCCTTTTTTAGGAATCTCCACTCACCGACGCCTTCCCACCTTAGGGTCCTGCCTGTCTTGCCTCCAGACACCTCAATAGTTGAAGCTCGTCTCCGACAGGAAGTGTTTGTGATGGTGATGTCACCCCATTTGGAACAGGCAGATGGGGTGGGGGCCAGGAAGCTGTGTTTCTGCTCCGAATGGTGGTGTGGCCTCCGCAGCCCCACGTGTGAAGGCCGCCTCGGCCGTCCTGCCTATGCGCCTTCGGGGGCTTCCGCAGACTGGGAGCCCGAGGCCAAGAAGGGGGGTCTGCTTGCCCCATGGCCCCAGCCCCCGCAGCCGTATTTCTGCATGGTGACCCCACCCCCTAGACTAGAGGTGCCTGGCAAGATGGCACTGGAGTCCTGCCCTGTCCAGTCTGGTCCTTGGACATCTCCCTGGACCTCAGTTCTGGCTCTGTCCACCAGGCAGCAGCTCCTGCTCTGCCTCCCGCCCTCGTGGGGCCCAGGCCGGCCTCACGCCCCAGTCCCTGCCTGCTGTCAAGGAAGGTGGGCTGTCAAGGAAGGAGCTGAGGAGGCTCTGGTCCCAGAGGCTGGGCTCCAGCCCCTGCCCGGGGCAGTTCTGGAGGAAGGGGCGCTGAGGGTTCCTGCAGAGCTGGGGCCCAGGAGGGCCGCTGCTGGTGCCGGCTGGCAGGCCTTGCTGGGCCTGCGCCAGTGCCCTGACTCCTCCACGTTCCCCTTTACCTGCGGCCTGCAGCTCTGAGCCGATGAGGCTGAAGATAATGACCTTCTTCCAAGGTCCTCCGAGCCGAGGGCCCTTCGACATCCCTGGGGACCCCCAGAAGTGGCCCTACCAGTCGGAGGCGGAGTCGGAGGCCTCCTCTGAGGACCTGGTGCTGCCCCCGGATGCTGAAGTGGCCCTGGACGGGACCCACCTGGACAGAAATGAGGAAGAGGCTGAGAGGAGAAGGAAGAAGAAGCCGAAGGGACTGGCCAACATGATCAGTGCCCTCACCAAAGGGAGGAAGAAGAAGGGGCTGCCCAGCTCCGTGGAGCCCCAGCGCCCGCCGGAGCCCCAGGCGGGGGTGGAGTCCAAGGCCGGGCAGGACCCGCTGCCCACCGGTAGGCAGCCCCAGGCGGGTCTTGGGCCACGACTGGCCAGGGTGGGGCTCCTGGGGGTGGGCGACCCTCGCCTAGGGCACAGAGCGTCAGGCCAGAGTGGCGGCCGG